TGTAATCAAAAATGTAAAATGATTCTAAGACTTGTGTTTTTCAAATTGCAGGTGCAGACCCATTGGGAAGTCATGCAGTCATTTTAAAGAGTCATGATAAGGGTCATTTTAATGAAATAGGGTAGAGAGAATAGAAAATGTCAGGGAGGCACTAACCAGTGTGGCTCACTTGGTTGGAGCATTGTCCCATAAATACAAAGGCTGTGGGTTTGATTCCCAGTCAAGGCACATGCCTGGGTTGTAGGTTTGGTCCCTGGCTGGTGTACCTACGAGAGATCTCCTGTCAGGGCACGTACAAGTGGCAACCAATCGATGTTTCTCTCCCTTCCTCTCTCTCTCTAGAATCAATAAATGTGTCCTTGGCTGAGAATTCAAAGAAAAAAAAAAAGAAAAGAAAATATCAAGGAAGCATCACATGTAGTAAAAGTAGGATTGTTTCACAAAACTTTGGGTTCAGCTACAGATCTATGAACACATACAGGGTCACATTGTGAACTATATTTCTTACAATGAGTAAGTCAAAAATTTGGAAAATTTTGCCACAAGAAGTTTCTGAGAAAAATACTGTTGCCTTGGAAATAGTCATTGATCATGAGGAAGGTCCACAGTGAAGAGTTGTGTGTCAGTTTTATATTCACCCTCTTGGTGTAGTGTTCCTTTTCCTGTTCCTCTCACTGCAGGTTGGGACCTGCTTTCCCACGTAATCATAGAGCGTAGCTGTGTTCCTGAGGCATGTGGGCAGTGTCCAGGAAAAGTAGGAGACACCTCTTCAAGAATCCCCTGGGTCCAGCCCTGACCCAGGTGGCTCAGTGGGTGCAAAGTGAGGGGTCACTGGTTCAGTTCCTGGTCAGGGCACATGCCTGGGTTTTTGGGCCAGGTCCTGGTTAGGGGCATGTGAGAGGCAGCCGATCAATGTTTCTACTTCGTCTCAGTGTTTCTCTCCCTCTCTTTCTGCATCCTTTCCTCTCTCCCTCTCCTCCTCCCCCTACCCCCCCTTGCACATGCACTCAATCAATCAATCAATCAATAAATAAATAAATAAATCTTAAATTAAGATCCCCTGAGTCCATAGCCCCAGCAAAAAAGCTCTAACATGTACACACCCTCCTCTCTACCCCAGGCTCCAACCCCATCCAGGCTGGAGACCCTCATTAAGTCACATAGACTATTTATAGAATGAAAAAAAGAACATGAGCATTCTAAATGCTTAAGACTACATACCCCAAATACACTGATTAACAGAGAACTGAAGCTCAAAATGGTAAAACAACATGTTTGGGTCACAGAAGAGCAAATTTAGAACTAACGCATGTCACCAGGTTGCCAACTCTAGGATTTTTTTTGTTATATAATTAATGGGCAATGTAGGACTATTAGAAAATCCAGATTAACAAAAAGATGCATTCTTCCAAAAATTAGATCATAATATGAACTTTTTTTTCAAAAAGTTTATTTATTTATTTTTAGAGAGAGGGGAAGGGAGGGAGAAAGGGAGAGAAACATCAATGTGTGGTTGCCTCTCACATGCCCCCACCTAGGGACTTGCTGTGCAACCCAGACATGTGCCTTGTCTGGGAATAGAACCTGTGACCCTTTGGTTTGCAAGCTGGCACTCAATCACTGAGCTATACCAGCCAGGGCTAGCATCTTTTGTTTTAAATCCTCATCCAAGGGCATGCTTATTTATTTTAGAGAGAGGGGAAGGGAGGGGAAGAGGGGGAGTGAAACACTGATTGGTTGCCTCCTGTATGCACCCCTACCAGAGACTGAACCTGCAACCTAGACATGCACCTTGGCTGGGAATCGAACCTGTGACCTTTCAGTTTACAGGACAACAGTCCAGCCAACTGAGCCACACCAGCCAGGGCTATATGAGCATTTTCGTAACTTGCAGTTTTCATGAACATGTTCATATATTTTGAACACTTTTGCACGTTAATAAATATACTTTTTACCTCAATATTTTTCTTATTATTCACTTTCCCATTGTACTATAATTTAACGGTTCCCCAGTTGTCCAATATTTGTTTGCAGTTGGGGAGAAAGGATTTTTTAAATTACAATTTATTATTAATTGTTCACTGGGGCATGAACACCTTAAATGATTTCCTGAAGTTGATCAATAATCTTTCCTCAATAAGTCTCCTTTGCCACCACGCTGTAAAACACAGTTACTTACTCAAATTATTTATTAGTCATAGACTTTAATTTTACAAATTTTACAAATGGGGATAGGAAATCTTTATTATCAGTCAGTTTTTAAATTAAAAAATACAGATTGGGTATTTTTGGTAACAATTGACGGTAGGGCAAGCACCCAGGCAGGTTAGGAATTTGTACCACTGTAGCACAGACAAGAGTTATTTCTGGAAGAAAGATATGGCTGTCATCAGATATTATGTACATTAAGAATTCATTAAATATCAAAAAGACTTCTTCACAATTACCGTAATTAATTGGCAAATGTTTATTGTCTGTTCTCTTCCAAACACATTGCTAGGCAGTGGAGATAGGCACTGTGTAGGGTAAAAACAATCTAATAAAGGAAACTGACATTGATCAGATACTCATCCTATTGAATATGTAATGACAAATATAAGTGCTCTACAACAGAAGAGCATGGTGCTGTGAGCAGCCCAACCTGGACTGGGGAGTCAGCAGTGACTTCCCCAAGGGAGTGATATTTGAGCTGAGCTCAGAGATGAATAGGCACTATTCAGGCAGGAAGGAATGTTCAGAATCACCACCCCCCCCCCCCCCCCCCGCCAATTGAGGGAGCATGGCAAACAAGGACTGAAAGAAATCCAGTGGAGTTGGAACAGAGTAAGAAAAGATGATAGACAAGCAGAGCCTCATAGGCCACGACAGAGAAACTGATTTGGAGAACTTTATCCTGAAAGCTATAGAAAGCCATTGAAAAGTTTTAAGCAGGGGTTAATGTAACACCTGAATGTCCCAGAGACATCTTTAATTCAGTATGTACAAAACCCAATTTCATTGTCCCTCTTTCTTATTTTTCAGTTTTTGTAAATGGCACTACTGTTCTAGTTAGTTGATTTAAAACTGCCCTCTCACCCTGACCAGTGTGGCTCTGTAGATTGGGTGTTGTCCCACAAAGCAGTGTCACAGGTTTGATTGCCAGTCAGGGCACATGCCTATGCTGCAGATTAGGGGCACATTCAAGAGACAACCAGTCAGTTTTTCTGGCACACATCAATGTTTCTATCTTTCTCCCTCACCCATTCCCCTGTCTCTAAAAAAGGAAGGAAAAAAAAAAAAAAAACACCCTGTCCTCTCAATAAGTCAGACTGAGGGGTGGAAACAGAAAAGGGAAAAGGAAGATAAATGGTGATGGAAGGAGACTTGACTTTGGGAGGTGAACACACAATACAATATACAGATGATGTATTATAGAATTGTACACCTTACTAACCAATGTCACACCAATAAATGCAATAAAAATTTAAAAGTAAAGACTGGACGAAGTACTATATAATCTCACTTATATATGGACTAAAGACATTGAACTCATAGAAACCGATGGTTGCCAGGGACTGAGGGGTGGGAGGAATGGGGAGATGTTGATCAAAGGGTAGGAACATTCATTTATAAGATGAGTAAGTTCGAGGATCTGACTTGAAAGTTGCTATAAGAGTAGAGCTTTAATGTTCTCACCATAAAAACAATATGATAATTATGTGACATAAAGGTTGTGCTAACTAACCTTATTGTGGTAAGCATTTCACAATATATATGTGTATCAAGTCATCACGTTGTACACTTTAAACTTAGATAATGCTGTATGTCACTTATATCTCAATAAAACTGGAGAATAAATATAAAACTGGCCTCTCTCCCTTTACCTTCGACCAATCAGTTATTCTGTTCCTCTATTTTTCTATTTCTATTTCCATGGAATCAAATAGTCTCAGTCATTATCATCCCTGCTACCATCAGTTCAGTTGAAACCCTCTACATCTTGCCTTAAGTATTAGAGCAGCCTTCTAATTGGCCCTAACCATTTCTCCTACTCTCTGTCACCTTTCCCCCTCAAACAAAGGATAACTTCCTGCCCATCCTCCAAGGCCCACTTTGAATTCCAGTAATGCCATCTCACCTTCCTTTAAGTACTTTCAGCACTCTCTCTGTCTTAACTCTCCTTTGAGTCCTGATATTAGGTAGTTTGGTAAGACTGTCCTGTCTTCTATTTCCTATGAGTGATTAGTGCTTTGCACATAGTACTGTCCAATGAGCCTTGATTATAATGGATTGAGAGCAAGGCTAAAATGGATTCTCTGCTCCACTTTATGTAGACCAAGCATTCCCCAGCTGAATTCCCCTAAGCCCCGTCAGGCTAGGAAATAGCAAACAGCTTTGCAATATGACTTCACTTTCCAATGCTATGCCCTTCTGAGGAAGAGCAGGGATGACAATACTTTTTAACCTATAAAGGACGTGGACATTTCTTGAACAGTTCGGAAAATCAAAACAGGAAAATGTGAGAGTCACATTAATGAAGCCTTAGAAATGTGAGAAGCACCCTAGAGCTTGTGATGGGCCGGTTTTTCTGTTGTTGGGTCTGTTGATAGACAAACAGACCCACAAAGAAGCATAGCTACTAATTAGAGAGGCAAAGGAGTGTTTGTAACCTTGACCAAATGGATAGGGTGGTAGAGTTTCCTGACTGCCTATTCAGGAGCCCTCTAAAAATAGGAGTTCATTCACCTTGACTCAAAGAGTAGGCATTTGAGCCCTGACCAGTGTGACTCAGTGGTTGGGTATCAACCTACAAAGCAAAAGTTGCCAGTTTGATTCCTTGTCGGGGCACATGCCTAGGTTGTGGGTTTGGTCCCTGGTTGGGGCCTGTACAAGAAACAACTGATCAACTCACATTGACATTTCTTGCCCTCTTTCCCACCCTTCCCCTTTCTCTAAAAATAAAGAAATAAAATCTTTTTAAAAATCAATTAATCTTTAAAAAATTCTTTTTTTTTTTTAAGTAGGCATTTGATGTGGATTATCTGTGGATGGATTGTGCACAGCACTTATGGGAGGAGCTTTCCGTCAATCAGAAGTCTGAGATACAAGTATGTTGCTGTAATCTTGCTTTAAGCCTTCAGTCATGTTGCAGGGCAGAGGAGAGACTTGGGCTCTAAGGTCTCCAACTATTTCAAAGTAATAGAGTCCTGGGACCCCTGGACCTAATTGGCTTTGGGACAGGAAGAAAGATAGAAATACCATTTCACGTTTGTAGAGTGCTTTCCAATCTACTAAGCACTGTCAAGCCCACGAATCGTTGTCATCTTCATGACAGCCCTATGAAGTGTGCTGAGAAGAGAGCCCTCATTTCATAGATGGGGAAACCAAAGTCACAAGGCCAGTCAGAAGTAGAACCAAGGTCTTTTGATTCCTTAACAACTGCTCTCTCCACCTCACCACTACTGATTTTGGAATGAGGAAAACTATGTAATAGCACTTGTCACTTAGGTAGTTGCTTGAAACTGATTGGCTCAACATGGTCAGCCACTGGCTGAGTCTGGGCACTTCTACTTTTAGTTCACAGAGCCATGGGGGTGTTGATGTCCAAGCGGCAGACAGTGGAGCAGGTGCAGAAGGTGAGCCTGGCTGTGTCTGCCTTCAAGGATGGGCTACGGGACAGGCCTTCCATCCGACGCACAGGTGAGCTTTCAGGGTCCCACCATGGCACTGTAGAGGGCTCTGTGCAGGAGGTACAGGAGGAGAAAGAAGCAGAGGCAAGCACCCCAGCGCTCCAAGAAGAGAGCAGCAGCAACCGTGCAGCCTGGGAGAGGCTCCGAGACGGGCGTGGAGTGGAGCCTGAGGAGTTTGACAGGAACAGTCGTTTCACTCCCCCTGCCTTCATCCGCCCCACCCGGAAGCTGGATGATGACAAGCCTCCAGATATCTGCTTGGAACCCAGAGAGCCTGTGAGTGTCCAGTTAGGGCAGATTCCTCATGTTTTAGACCTGAGGAGCAGGGAGCAGGAGAGGGAGGCCTGGAAATGGTTAAAGTGAGACTCAACACCAGAAGTGCTGACTTCTGAACAACTGGAGTTGACTTAGTACAATCTTTGAGTTTCTTCCACAAGAACAACAATGTTACATTCTAGATTAGTCTTAGTGAAAGACTTGAGGCAGTAGGTGACAAGGAATGACACCATGGAAGGTCCTCTGCCAGCTCTCCCACCTAAGGATAGTACTACCCCCTGTAGGGAGCATTTGGAAACTTGTGGGGTGGGGAGACTTTGGGAAGGTCACAATAACTGTAGGAGTTGCTACTGGCATTTGGTGCCAAGAAAACCAGGATGCTAAGTGTCCTGCAATGCCTGGGACAGTCTCTTGCAACACATTATTCTTTCTCAAAATGGTAGTAGCATATCTGTTCAGAAACATGGTCACAGAGGGCTGAGCAGCTGGAAGAGCCTGCTGGTTCTTGTCTTCCAGAGAGACAAGATGGGGAATAGCGCCTTAACCCTGGCTTTAGTTGACGTGGTTCCACTAGGCTGCTCTAGGGGGACTCAGCCCTAGATGGGTAGCTCTGTGCTTGGTGGCCATAGGATCTGCCGCTTGTACTTACACATCCCTGTCCTTTCCTGCCATCTTTTTCCAGGTTCTCAACGATGAGATGTGTGATGTCTGTGAGGTCTGGACAGCCGAGAGCCTCTTCCCATGCAGGGTCTGCACCAGGGTTTTTCACGATGGATGCCTGCGACGCATGGGCTATATCCAAGGAGACGGTGCACCAGAGGTGACCAAGATGGCACACACGGAAACAGGCTGGAGCTGCCACTACTGTGTGAGCGTGGACTGCAGGGACAGTGGGCTGCTGCATCGCAGAGGACATGGCACTTTTCCTGGAGGCCTAGTCTTAGAACACTGGTTACTAGTCAGTAACCTAAAGAGTATTCCAATAGTAGACATAAGGGTCCTAGAGCTAGGACAGGATTTCTCTCTCAGTTCTATTGACATTTTGGGCACCATAATTCTTTGTTGTGGGGGCTGTGGCATTGTAGGATTTTTAGCAATCTCCCTGGCCTCTAGCCACCGTCTGAACACTAATGATTCTCAAATGTGTGTGTCCAGACCTAAATTGTCTCTGTCTCTTGGGCTTATGTTAATCTCTATGCTTCACATGCACTTCATATTCAACATGCCCCCAAATGAACTTATCCTTCTCTCAAAAGCTGAATACCACCTCACCCCACTCCCCAGTTACCAATCCCAAGTCATTTCTCCCCTTCATCCCTCTAGTAAGTCAATAGGTCCTGTTGATTCTACCTCCTAATATCCCTCAAATCTCTCCCCTATTTTTTCGTTCTCATGTCTTCAGCTAGTCACTCATCTTTTCTTATCTAAACTATTGCAACAGGCACCTAACTGCTGCTTATGCCTCCAGACTTTGCCCTTCTAATCCATTTTCCACACAGCAACCAAAGATCTCCCATGGTGCACCACACTTTAAAACCCTTCAGTGACTCCCCTTTGCTCTCAGAATAAAGGCCCGATTTGACCCCTTTATTGATCGGACATTTGAGGCACTTCACAGTCAGATTTCTGCCTGCCTCCCCTTCCTTTTATCATTCCTTCTTGCTCTTCCCCCACCCATATATACTCTACCCTCCAGCTACAGTGAACATCTCACAGTGTTAATATCATATACTAAGTGCTCAAAAGTGTTTATTGAAGGAATGGTGTGAGTTCTTTATGAAATCCACAAATGAATATTCATTAAATGTCTGCTTCTGTTCTTTGCTGGTATTTTAGTGGGGGGAATAACCTACTAGAAAGAATCTTTGATGTTCTAAAGACTGTAAATTAATGTTAACAAAATAACCTATCAGTGCTCTTTTGGAAGTAAAATTTCTCACACTGGCTGGTGTGGCTTAGGTGGCTGGGGCATTGTCCCATAACCAAATTGTTGTGAGTTCAGCTCCCAGTCAGGGCACATAAATAGGTTGCAGGTTTAATCCCCGGTCTGTGCACATATAATCTCTGGTCTGGTCCCATACAGGAAGCAATCAGTTGATGCTTCTCTCTCACATCAATGTTTTTCTCTTTCTTCCTTCCTCGCTCTCTAAAAAAGCAATGAAAAAAAATGTCCTCAGGTAAGGGTAAAACAAAACAAAACAAACAAACAAAAACCTAAGGCAGCACAAAAAACTTGATTTTAGGAACTTTGTATGATGGCATCTCTTTCAAAATCACTCTGGAGAAATTTAAAATGATACAACCCACTAAGAGCAGAGTTACAGTTAAAATGATTTTTCCAACTAGGATAACCCTTTGAGCACAGTCTAACACAGAAGGCAAATCCTTTAAATGGATAAACGTATAGCTTCTCTGGTTGATGGAGCCAAGGATTCACACCCCTACCCACTAACCCCCTTTCTCCCTTGCAGCAGCTTCCTAAGGCCCTTCCAAGAAAGCCCAAGCGTATCTCAAAAAATAATTTTAAAATGACTGTTTTAGTAAAAGGGACTCAGGGCTGGAGTCAGGATACCTGAGTTATGGGAAAGATTCTGCCCCACAACTCAAAACAAGCCCTTTCCCCTTTCTGGGGCCTCAGTCTCAGTTATGAATGAGAGGCTAGGATTAGATGATCTCATAATTGCCTTTCAATTGAAATACTACTTCCATTTCTCTTGACCTTTGGCCTTTCTTACTGGTCTATGTGGCCACTGACCCCTTTTTCTTTTTTTTCCCCCCCAGGATAACCTCAACTTACTGCTAACTGAGGAGGAAATGTATAGCCTCACAGAGACCTTTCAGCAGTGTAAAGTCATCCCTGGTAAGGCTGGATGGTACTGCTGGATGGAGAGGTGCTAGGCGGATTTCTCCATCATACTTCCTAGGATGGAAGGAGTGTCCTGGAATTTGAGGGGGGTGGGAGGGTAAAGGGTAAATAGGTCCCTGTTCCCAAGCTGTTGGCCAACAGGGGCACCCACATCTGGCCACAGCCTGAGTTATCCTGGTTACTGGAGACAACGACTCGGCAAGAACTGTGGATGTAGGGGCTCTAGCAGGTACTCTAGGGGGTAGAATGGAGGGCCCCAGAGGCTAAGGAAGGAGTGGGCATTGCTAGCATGTGATGCATCCCCCTCTCCCAGATTGTTCCCTGACATGGGAAGACTTCCTGCGCTACCGCCACCAAGCAGCAAAGCGGGGGGACAGTGACAGATCTCTAAACCAGGAGCAAGAGGAGCAGGTGGCCCGCCAGTTTGCAGCCCTGGACCCTGATCATCGAGGACACATAGAGTGGCCTGACTTCTTGTCCCATGAGTCCCTCCTCCTCCTGCAGCAATTGCGTCCCCAGGTAAAGGCCAGCTGGGGTGAATGTCTATGGGATATTGGGTGACAACACCTGGGAAGCAAGCTGGGCAGTTTGGCGGAGCATTGGGTACTCTCTGAGCAGGAACCAGTACCAGAAAAGGGGTCAGGTTCCATCCAATGACAGACGACTCAGTGCCTGGGCTGAGGAAACTGCCCAAGGAAGATAGATTTGCACTGGACACCACTGCAAATGTTGGCGCTAACAGAACGGCTCTGGGCAGCTTCAAAGGAGGTTGCAGAGGTGTTAATGGAGGTAGAATTCTCTGTAGCTTGACAGTTTACAAAATATTTTCATCTCCAAGATCTTAACTTGTCTCTTCTTCCCCAGAACTCTCTGTTAAGGCTTCTGACTGTCAAGGAGCGGGAACGAGCCCGAGCCACCTTCCTGGCTTGGGGTAGTGGGAGCACCATCAGTGAGGCAGAGTGCCGCCATGCACAGCACTCTTGGTTCTGCAAACGCCTCCCAGAGGCTCCTTCCTCCAGTGTCAGGTCTGCTCCCTACCAATCCCTGCCCCCACTCATGCACCAGCCTCCTTTTTCCATGCCAAATGACTCTAAATATGAAAGGTACTCTCTGTTTTTCCTGCCAACAGCCAGGAGAGGATCCTCCTCTGCATTAGACAGAGTCAGTGACTCCTGTAGGCTGAGGCATTGGGCAGCCTCTACTCCAAATTGTTGCCCCATGTCAGAGAGCCTAGACATGTACATCATCTAGAGCCATGGATTCACCAGAGTTTGGGAGGGGGCCAGGCCTTTCACTGTCTCACTTCTAACTACATGTCCTTATACCTACCAGCATCAGCCACGTGGGTCCCATAGCAGACAGCAGCCCAGCCAGCAGCAGCAGCAAGAGTCAGGACAAGGCCCTTCTGCCCACAGAGCATGAATCCAGGTGAGTGGGACCTCCTCCTCTGGATGTCTGCTCCCCTTAGCCCCCAACACACACAAGTAAGAGAGGGCATTACCTATTGTCACCTCAAAACAGCAAGTGCCCAGAAAGCAGGCTCCCAGAGTACACATCTGACCCCCAATCCATAGGGCCAGCCAGCTGGTCTGCCACCTTGGAAGCACGGCTGGCCATAAGCATGTCAGGCCATGCTGACACTGGGATCAGGTCTCATTAGCCTCTGGGCTCTGCGACTAACCTCACAAACTTGTTCTTTGATTCCACTCCAGATCTGTGGACTGGCCTACCTTCCTGCAGGAGAATGTCATCTACATCTTGGCTGCTCGCCCAAACAGTGCAGCCATTCACCTGAAACCCCCAGGATAGAATGGAGTAGAGAAGCTCAATTCGGGGACAGTGGCTTTCTCTCCTTTTCCTTTCTCCCTTTCTCCCACCAGCCTGTGGTACTGAGACTTAAGAGGATGGAACACTGCCAGCATCTCAATTTGTCAGCAAGCTTTATGGCACTGAAATCACCATTCACCTCACAACAGAGGCAGTAAATGCATTGCCACAGGGAGAAGCCCTGGGAGCTGTGGCAGCAACCAGTCCTGGAAACACACACCCCCACCCTCACATGATAGACTGGGCCTGCCACGGCACGGATATGTGGGCACACTCACCCACATACACTCCTAGCTGTCCATGCCTTCAGACACCTCGTCCTTTTGGTTTACCATTATGGTTTAAGAATGTCCAAAGTTGCTTTGAGAAGCTGCTGATATAGATGAGGGCGTCTCAACTCACCCTATTCTGTTGGCCAGTTCCAGTTCCATGAGATAAGACCCTGACCGAGTGATTCTTAATAAGGGGCCTATCAGATTCACATGCTCTCCTGGAAATACTGACAGGCTCCATTTTCCCCCCCTTGAAAATCCCTTCTGTGGTGAGCCACTGTTCTGGTAGGTGTGTGTTATATCCCTTAGACGTGTTGGGGTGGGAAAATGGTTCAGAACCACCACTGCATTTTAGCCCATTATTTATTTAAATTGCAATTCCTGGTAACAGAGAAGGTAACTAGTCTGTGGAATCCTAATTAGGAAAGGGAGAGGCAGTCCCTCCCAGGGACCCAGAAGTCTAGAACTTCTCAGCCAGGACATTCAAGCCAAAAAGTCTTTAGAAGAACAATCAAAATCAAAGTGAACCATCCTGGCCCTTGTTTTACAGATGTGAGCACATGACCCACAGTCTAAGGGTCCCTAATGGAACAAGTATGATGGCAGGAGTTATAGCCCTCTGCATTAGATGCTTCACCTAAATTAGCTACCGCAGAGAACTAAAGCCTGGGCTCCAGTGAGGACAAGGTCTCGATGGAAAAGAACAGGAGAAAGCCAATCCTTTTCCATCCTTCCAGTTCAGCTCAACTGTAGACCTTGAACAGTGTGCCATTGAACGGAGAACAAAGCCAGCCTCTTCACCAGCCCAACAAAGGGCAGCTCCACAGCTCTGAGCAGGGACTCCTTTCAACCACCCTGACAATGAAGATAAGAGGCAGGAGCTAAGGAGAAGATTTGCTTCTCAGCTCTCAAGCAGATAAAGTCCTAGCAAATCCTCACAGGAGGCAGTTTTCCCTTCTCCCCAGTCACTGAGACAAGGCCTGAGTCGCTACTTCTCCCCACTGTTAACTACATGTTCTTCCCCACCAGGCTAAGGCCTGGGCCTAGAATGGGAGGACTCTGGGGACAGGCATCCTGTACCCACAACACTTGACCTCTAAGTCCGAGCTATCCTAAGTTCTCAAGTCAGTGCATGCTGTGGATCAGCCCGGGCCCTTGGGTTCAGGTCTCTGTTTCTAACCTAATGACAGGTTTAGCCAGATATGACTACCAAGAGTTATTTGAGAGGGGGGTGGTTCAGTCATGCAGAAGCTAACATGTCACTATTGCTCAAATAACTTGTACTAAATAGAGTATTTACAGAAGCAGCAGCATACAGCTCAGTGTCAAGATGCTCAGGAGAAAGCGGGGAGCTACAACCAGGAGTGTGGTATATGGTCTCCTCCTGCAGAAACTGAGCTGGAAGCAGAGTGAGAAGCTTCTGGAGTTGGATTATTTAGGACCGAAATGAAGCAGACAGAAGACGAATCTGGGTTCGTGTATATGACCCCGAACATTTCAAAACACTTTCGGTAAATATTCCTTAGCCATACTGTCAGGACTGATAAATAGGAGGGGTCATTATGCAGTCCAGCCAAAAAAAAAAAAAAAAAAAAAAAAAAAAAAAGGAAGCACATGACTTAGGCTCAAGGACTGCATCTGAGGCAGCCAGGCCTGAGAAGATTAAAGCACATTATGCACAGGGCCTCTTGCTTACTCTCCTGGCAAATCACTCTGCATCAATGGCCTTGAGCTCCTTGATCTTATGAACAGGTCATTTTGAGCAAAGACAAGCTCTGGACTTTGAGGGCTGAACAGCTTTTTTCTCCTGCCTCTTCATCAGTCACAGGGACTAGAAGTCCACCTTCTTGTTTCCTGCCCTTCACAGATCAAGGGGATGCCTACCTCTCTGGAGCTGCTGCTTCTAGCTTTCTGTGGGTGAGTGGTGAAAGACCGTGGGCCAGATTAAGCTAGCTGGATCCCATGGCCTGACAAAGCAGGCCCTGGAGTTCTTCCACAATAAGATCAGTCCCATTTGGAATCACCTCTGCCTATTCAGGACAGCAAGCTTCCTTGGTAGGCGTATGCTGCAGAGGGTCCTGAGAACACTGCCCCCCACTTCTGCAAAGGATAGAGTCCCCAGTCCAAAAGAGTCCTAGGAGGCAGAAAAGCATAGAAATGCAACCAGCTTCTCTGTAGGCATTTTTTACCAAAGGAGAGGTTCCATAGCTCCCCCAGTTCAGAGTGTGGAAGACCCACCCCAACCTGCTGTCCAGGATCTCCCTTTGCAATGTCCTAATCCATGGAGACCTTTAGCAGTGTGTATGGAGACATTCAAACTTTTATAAACCTAATGAACTCAATTCTCCTTTTCATACCCTTCCATCACTGTGAGCATCTGAAATTCTGCCAAGCACAAAAATGAATGTCTGACTCTAATGAGGGTAGGAGAAAATGTTTCAGTCTTCTTGAGATCAGCGCTTTTCCCAAGCACTGCCCACCCCATCCCTCAACCAAAAGAAGCTGAGGTTATAAATATGCTCCTCTGAAGACCATCTGCCCTAACTAAGCCTGTGTTTCACCCAACAGTCATCTTCCCCATGCTCAAATTTGAAGACGGGTAACTGGGCGACAGTGAGGTTGTAGCAACAGAGTCAGCTGAGACAGTAGCCATGGACTCGTAACCTCTCCAGGTCTGCTCTGTGGCTTCCGCTCCTAAGACCAGACTTCCCCAACAGATGCAGGCTCTACAATTTTGAGCAATGGCCCCTTTGGATCCCAGGGATGGAGCTGTTCCCTCACTCCTAGGTACTGATCCCCTCTCAAGTGCTCTTCTTTGAGGACAGCTGAAGCCATGAGCACATTGCCTCTTTCTGCCCTTGGCTCAAGTGACTAGGGCTGCAGGGCTGACACTGGCCTCTCTAGCCCTGGTGCTCCCTGTGGAATGTCACCCTGGCCTTGTTTCAGTGGCCACATCTGGGGATTCCCTCATTCCTATCACCAATATGGGAAGCACAGAATCAAACTGCCTGGGGAGAGGGCATCTCCTGGGGGTTAAGCCCAGGATTGTGCCTAGACGTCTCAGCCCAAAGCATAACCTCAACCATTGCAGGTCTCAACTTTAGTAAGAGTAGTGCCAGGAAACCCTACAGCCAAGAGGGAAGCTTAGCAGGAGCTGTCTGGCAGGGCCCCAGGCTAGCCATGACCGCCCCAGAGCCAAAAGTAACCTCCAGGTAGCAGGCTTTAGTGACCCTGCAAGCATGTCCCCTTCCAACAAGCAGAGTAAAGGGAGATACATACTTGGCACTAAAAGGCAGAACAACCTTGATGCCAGAATTTCAGGACATCCTGGCAGCACCTGTAACCATAACCCCCTTTTATTCCTCTATTATAGTGGAATAAAATTGCTACTTCTCCATGCCACTTAGTTTGAATTTGCCCAAGATCTCTCTGGGTCCCTGCTTGTAGCCTAGACAATAGAGATCTTACTGAGTGGGCGATATTAATGCATCATGCCTGTTCATGACAGCTCAGTCCTAGAGTGGGGTAGGACTGGGCACTTTCCCTGTTGTTGCTTTCCTGCTACCACTGCTTTTGGCAACTTTGGAAGGGGAAAAAAAGGTTACAGAATTTCCACTAGACCCCACTAGCACTAAGGAAAATCCCTCTAGGCCACATACTCTGATGACCCAGGTCATGGAGAGGGTATCAGGTTTGGTCTGGGCCAGTGACTAAGAAGTGAAATCACAATGTGTCTAGAATGGGTTGGTGTGATCACAAATATGAACAAGATATAAGTAGCAAGGCCTTTCCATATCTGTGATGAAACACAAGACTTCAAGCTTATTCTTCAAGAGATGGCTTATGCTCTGTCTCCCAACCACACTCAGGCTTGTGAGGGGGTTCTGAGAGTATTCAATAACAATGGAGGATCCAATGCCCTGTGGTCCCTCATGCCTGTCCAATGTGCTTTTCTGAGGAAAGTAATGACAGTAAGCTGAGGGGAACATGCCTAAGCCCTGTCTTCCTATCACTCCAACTGCATGCTCCTCTCCACAGCTCAGCCTTCACTCCAGAAGGAGCTGATGCTCCCAGAAGCTGGGCACAGTGGAAATCATAATAAAGAGATTGTGATGCTATTTCAGCTTCCTGTTTCCTGTTGTTTGGGGCATCTGGTGAGTTTCCATGTGATTTCATATCATTAGCAAATTCCTGAGTCTGAGTCTGGGTCTAAGTCAAAGTAGAGAAGCTGTGGCCTCCAAGAAGAACACAGTATATATACTATGTCTCTCTTTCTAGAGCTTTCCTGGCACAGACCTTTCCAAGAATTAATTATTGGTGGGAGTAGGAGGAGACAGGGGTTGTATGGAGGTACTGAAGAGAGGTGCCAGAGGTTTTGGAGAAATTGAGGAAGAGATAATTCCTCTAAGCCTGTATTGCCCCACCATCCCCACCAAGGGCTCGTTTTAGACACTTTTCCCAATTCCAGCTGAGCTACAAAGTAGGGAACCTAGATGGTTTTTCTCCTGGTCTTCTGGGCCTTCCTTGGTCTGAGCGTTTCCTACCCATTTTTGCTAGTTGTTTTGATGTGATATAATAGGGTTGGATAAACCAGTCTGGAGAAGCTTTTGGACTATGGAATCTCCACTCGCCCCTTTTACCTAGTAAACAAAGCCAGCACTTATAGCAGGAAAGCATCTCTAGACTGTGGCTCAGAGGCAGATACTCGACCTCTAACCCGTAGGGGTCCCGAATATAAATACTTGTTAACATTTGTATCACTATGCACTGGAAAGTTCTAAGTGCTTGCATAAAGTAATGAGCTCATCTTCAAAGGAACCCTATGAGACTTGTATTAAAGATGAGAAAAGTGAAGAACAGAGGATGAAAATTTCTCAAGGTTATAGAGTCACACTGCTAGGAAGCAGGGGAACCTGGTACTCTGCCTGCAATACCCATGTTGTTAACCCACCCACAGTTCTAGGCATAGCTGGAGGTATATCCAATGGCCTCTGTCTAAAGTACACTAATGGCTGCCTGTCAAAGTGCACCTCAAGGAATAGCCTACTCTGTGGTCTAGCACCTCCCCTTTCTACTTACTGGGAATAGATATACACAAGTAGACAGGCCTACCACCATGTCACAGGTTTCTTTCCACTTGCACAATTCAACCCATTCACTCACAGGGCTTCCATGCCTTTCCTCCCTGGAGTATTCCCATGGAGGATCAGACTTGGAGGCATCTTAATATTCTACAGGTTCCCTTCTCCTTGTCTCCAGTTTCAGTGAAGCCAAGCACGGGGACAGAAAATGAGGCATAAAAGCTTGGGCCTCTGTAGGGCCTAATGACAAGATTTCCCCACCCTTGGTCCAGCAGTCATGACTTGCCCTCCCAGAACTGTTCTTTCTACCAATTGCCACTTGTCCCTGGGGCTGGCTAGAGCCTCAGGTCCACACAAACTTCCACCCACCGTCTCCTGCTCTGGCTCAAGTGCACTTCTTTTTATCTCTAGGGAAAGTCATTTCCCTGAGGGAAACAGTGGCTACTAAATTTGTTAAACATGGAGTAATGTGTTCTCTGTCCCACCCCACCCGAAGGATTACTTGCAGTTTGACTCGGCTAAACCTGTTTCCTCATCTGCAAAAATCTAGACAATAGTCCCTTTTCTGTCTGCCTCCTAGGCTCGTAATTGATTGAGGACAGAATGAGTTTGATAAGAGGAAAGAGATTTATACACTGTAAGGTACTGAGAGAGCAGCGTGGATTTCTGGCCCCATCGGAAGGCTTTGTGTATATCCTCTTCCACCCACCCACAGTCCCAGGCCATAGCTGTGGTACTGCCAATGGCCTCTGTCCACAGTGCTGAAGTCACAGCCAAGCCAGCTGGGAGTCTTCAATCCCACTTTATTTTTTATTTTGTATATACTAATTTATTCATATATACATTCACTTTACAACCTTACATTTTAATATTTATCAAAAACAAAAATATCGAATACTTTACAAATTTTCATGTCATCCTTACACAGGGGCCATGCTAATCTCTGAATCATTTCAATTTTAATATACAAGGGGGTATCCCCCCAAAAACTGGAATTATCTTCTGGAGGGCGAGCCCTTTGTAGTACAAACTTGCTCCACTAGGTGAGTGTTCTAGAAACCCATCTGTATCAGTGCACCATCTGGAATTATTGTGAGAAACTGTTTTTGGCTTCAGTGAATTTTTTTTAAGATTCTTTCAGACACGTTTGCCCATTTCATGATGGGTGATTTAAGAGCACACCTGTCCACACTGTGCTGAGTGTTCAGCAGTTTTTGACCAAAACTCAGCATCGTCCCCATGCTCCACCCTCCCCATTCACCCAATCTTACCCCCAGTGACTTTTTTTGTTTCCCTGGATGAAAAAAGACCTCAAAGGGAAATGTTTTGTCAATGTGGAAGAGGTGAAACAAAACAGCAGAAGCACTAAAAGGCGTCAAAATCAACAAGTTCAAAAACTGTTCTGAGCAGTGGAAAAAAGTCTCAATAGGTGTGTACTGGATCAAATGGAGAGCACTTTGAAGGTGACTGAAGTTTAAATATGTAAGAATAAACAATTTTTAATAA